CCCCCCTCCACCCCCCCTCTCTCCCTCTCTCTCTTTCTCTCTCTCTCTCTCTCACACACACACACGCACACACACACACTATGTATCCTGATCACATTGCAATAAAAAGAATGAAAAAATCCCTCTTAGTTGTGATGTTGTCAGCGATGTCTTTGTGAGCGTGGGGAGTTGGGATCGACGGCTCGGCAACGTGTATGCGGCAGACTCCGCCGGCAGTCACATCGGACAACGCTACTCGCACAGAAAAAATGGGACCCCGAGGTACAATTTACTCGGATGTGCAAATTTTCCGACGAGTTGTGGGAGTCTCAAAAACTGCCTGCTTGGATTGGACAATGTATCTGCACCCAGCCCAACCGGCTGAATGGTACACAGTACTACACACCCATGAACTGTGAATGAGCAGACTCGAGTTCGAATCCTGATGGTATCAGTTGGATAAAATTAACCGAGAAATACATGAAGCCAGTCAGTTTCACAAGGATACACAAGCGGATCGACCTCTCCCAAACCAAAAAAAAAAATAAAAAAAAATCCATTTATCCCCAACAGTGCCAGGACCACACACAACTCGAGTCGTTCCTATGCATCTACTGGGATCATTTTTCCAGCAACCGCTGAAAAACACGGTTTGCTTCGCCCTCGACTTTTCACCTATACCTTGGGGGGGAAATTTCCCACCTGGTCAGGGATTGCCAGGTGATGGGAGAATGGCCCTTGGGCCAGGTTAAACCACCAGTACCTCTACCATCTATAAAAAAAAAGTTGCGGCCGTGTACGCGCCGCAACTTTAGGGGTCGGGCAACCGAACGCCCGGTCGCCGATTTAAAAAAAAAAATCAGAAATGAAAAGAGAAAAAACAGAAAAAAAAAAAGGAGATTCAAAATAAAACAAAAACAAAGGAAAAGCACGGCGCCCGATGTGGTGGTAAGACTCAGCAACGCAAAGAGAGAGAGAGAGAGAGAGAGAGGGCCTCGCTGCACTTTCGAAATGTGCAAAACGAGAGTGAATCTTCCGCTAGAACATGGCAAGATACACGGCCATGATTTTCGTCTTTTGTGCATATCCAGAGTAGTGGAGCGGCGCCCACAGAGAGAGAGAGAGAAAGAGAGAGAGTCCCGGCGCGTTCGCCGGGCAGCGGTACTGCAAATGCGCTGTCTCTCTCTCTCTCTCTCTCTCTCTCTCTCTCTCTCTGCACTTTTGGTTATGACAGAAAACGGGAATGAATCTTACCACCGACAGCGGAAAGATTCATTACCCTTCTTTTCATTAGCACGTTCGGTTATGAAAAGAAAAGGGAATGAATCTTACCATCGACAGCGGGAAGATTCATTCCCGTCTTTCTGTCATATCCAAACGCGCAGAGATAGAGCGAGAGCGAGAGAGAGAGAGAGAGAGAGAGAGAGAGAGAGAGAGAGACGGCGCATTTGCAGCGCCACTGCCCGGCGAACGCACCGGGACTCTCTCTCTCTCTCTCTCTCTCT